GTTATTTGTGATTGATGAAAGTTCTCATTACGTTGATAGAAAACGTTTTTAGAACAATGTTCTTGGAACGTCTTTATTACGTTATTTGTGATTGATGAACGTTTTCATAACGTTGATAGAAAACGTTATTAGAACAACATTCTCAGAACATATTTATAATGTTATTAGTATTTTCTGAATGTTATATTTAGGCTACCATAAAACGTTCTGGGAACATGTTATTTGCTGAACATTCTCATAATGTTAAGTACACTTGTTAACAAATGTGCGCTTCTTAACATAAGTTTACAATCACTAGATTTGTATAATATGACTAGGCCTATGTCCATATAAACATTTTAAACATCACAATAGTTTATAACACCACCCCAATAAACCAGCACTTATATAGCCTATTAATAAATTAATATTAACTAGTGCAAAATGCCGGTGCAAAATCAGTTTTTGTGTGTGTTTTTAGTAATTGTTGTTTTGGTGTGTTTGAGTGCTCATTGTTACAATTACACAGCAGAAGTTCAGTGAGATTTTTAATTATGTAGAAAGCAAATACTGATCCTGAAATAATGACATAAAATAAATGTGGAAAATTGAACTACACGATGCAGGGAGCAGCTACACAGTGAACTCCGAGAAAACGCTACGCTTGAGCAAAAACTGTTTGTGAATAGGCTACTAAAAATGATGCCTGTGAATGCATTGAATATGTTTTGTTGGTTAATAGCATTAACAATTAAAAGCTACTATTACAGTAGCGATAACGTTAAGCGCACCAGAATGAAAGATAATATTCAGAAGTAAACAGCATAGCTGACTTACAGATTCAGTTAACATCCACAAATGAATAAGCGCGACGATTCAGGGAGCAGCTATACAGTGAACTCTGAGAAAACGCTTGAGCAAACAGTGTGTGAATTGGTTACTACAAATGATGGCAAAGTGCCCGTGCAAAATCAGTTGTTGTTTGTGTTTTTAGTAATTGTTGGTTGGGTGTGTTTGAGTGCTCATTGTTACAATTACACAGTAAAAGTTCAGTGACATTTTTATTTGTGCATGGTATAAGCAAATACAGATACTGACATAATGACATACACAGAGTGTTTGTCAGAATGTTTATTTTTAACGGTATCTTTTGCATTTCTAATCCAAACAATGTCAAACTTGACACTGCACTTAGCCTACTCATGCCCGTAGCAAGAAACCTGTCAAGTTTGAAATCCATTGGACAAACGGTTCGAGAGATGTGTGGTTAACAGACAGACAGACAGACCTTTCTGTAATTTATAGATATGCTATTCACATTATGTGAAGCACTGTTAAATATATTGAAATACATTTTGAAAATATATTATTTCAAAAATACATTGAACATAAATCTTTTAAATTGTTCCTCATGTTACATCTGTAAATGTGTGTACATATTGTGTATTTTCTTAAAATATATCCATGCCTTATATCATGTTTAGTTTTTAATAAATGTTTTTTGCAATTTTATTTCTACACCACGTTAACCATTTATATAAAGCTATATAATATTATAGGCTATTATATATTACATTATATTATAGCCTATTATATAAATGACTTTGTGGTAAACATTGTTTTACACTCTCATTCCGTTTACAGTTTGGTGATGGCCATGAGCCTATACACTTAATAATATTAACCTCACATTTCAGGATATTTTATCTGATTATCAAATAACTCCCTCGATCAAATCTTCTTTAAACGCAGCGTGACTTCTACATATTTTAATATGCGCGCGCACTGAACATTCGAGTTGCATTTGAACCAGATTTGAACTGGAGTTACCATGGAAACGGGCGGGAGCTCAACTTTGGCTCAACTGACGACAAGCAGCAACTCCGTCTCTCACTGTTGTTTTCGCTAATTTCAGGTAAGTTTAGTCCCCAAAATTACACAAATAGTACATAAAAATGTTTCAGACACATTCTTTCATGGAAATAACACGCTTCCGTTGAATATTTACTTTATAGAAATGGTTTAGTGTCTTCGGGAAAAGTCCGTTAGCATCTCAACTGTTAGGCTAACGGTAAGTTAACTAACTTAGAGGTGACGTTAGGTTGACTAGACTTTAGCTGTAAGTTTAGGCTTTTAATCTTGATTCGAGGTTTTGTAAAGGTTTTAAATGCCATTTATGCCTAGTATTAATATGAATGTCACGCAACCGCTTAATTCACAGGTAACGTTAACTTAGTTTCAAGTCAGTTGAATCAACGTTTTATATGAATATGCTCTTTTAATTTGACGTTAAGCATACAGCCGCACACACACACACACACACATACGTTACACACAGATGAATAACCTTACTACAAAAAATGTATATTCCTTGTCAAGCTACTTTTTTTTTTTTTGATGGAAGTTTTCATTTTCAGGTGTAACGTTAGCTAATCCTTTACAATGTGTTATTGAACCTTTCCATTGTATTACCTTTGTAAGCTACATTTTAATATTGTGTGGTTTAATATTTATACTCAAAGCACAGCCTAAATAACTTAAGGGTTAACATTTATGGAGTACTGTTATTATTAAATGTTTATGAATTAATAAATCACCATTTGTAACATCAGTCAATCTGTTCACTTTACAGACGGGGCATGAAGAGACTGGACCACAGTGCTAGTTTGGCACCCCCACACTACTTATATTTAAGGGTTAGTTCACCCAAAAATGAATATTTTGTCAGTAATTATACACCCTCATGTTGTTCCAAAGACTTCCATTCATCTTCAGAACACAAATTACGGTAAGATATTTTTCTAGGCAATTTCATTCTGCCAGCCCAGGAAGTTAGTAAAGACATTGTTAAAATAGTCCAATGGCGCTTTTCCACTGCATGATACGGTTCGGCTCGGCACGGCTCGCTTTAGCTCGGTTTGCTTTTCCACTGCAGTTAGTACCACTTCAAAGTGGGTGGGATTATAAAGACTGATCGTTTATAGTTTATCCGCTCCTCGGCAACCAACGAGATGAACGTCTGCACTTCGTCCACTGAACACTATTCAGCTATTTATTTTTTGGACGTTTTTTTTTCTTTCTTTTTTCTTCAAGCAAGTAGTTTTAAAACAGGTGCTACAGCGGTGACTGTTACTGGCTATTTAAATCTAGCGGGTTTGATGTCTCGCAAATACAATGACGCTGCTAGTGACGATTCTGTCTGACCAATCAGTGATCTGCAGTGTTTTCACGTCACATTTTAGTATCGGTACAGTATGCTTGGAACCTCGACAGAGGTGGTACCATTTAAAGCGAGCCGTTCCATGCAGTGGAAAAGCGCCAAAGCGTGCCGTGCCGTACCATGCAGTGGAAAAGCGCCACAAGTGACTACAGTGGCTCAATCTTAAGTTTATCAAGCGACGACAATAATTTTTGTATGCAAAAATAACAACTTTATTCAATTATTCATTTTCTTATGTGTGGGCCTCTGAGTGAGTTCACAAAATTGCCGCACTACATCGAGACCCATCTGCGTCATCTTCTCAGTTCTCGCTGTCTCGTGAACTCTAGGACTGGGACGATACACCTATCTCCCGATTCAATACTATCACGATACTTGGGTGCTGATATTAGGATTTTTTTTTTAAGAATTGCGATTCGATATTGCGATTTTTATTTTATTTTTAACACTAGACCATCAGAAAAAGTTAAATCATACACTTAAACAGACTGTACAGGCTACATGATGTATAAGATGAGTCATATTTACAAAAACAATTCATCACATCTCTCTGACTTATTTCAGAAGCATCATACGATAGTACTACATTCTCTTAAATAAATGATTCAATAAATACATTTTGTAAGTCACTTGTCGCCACCTTGTGGCGAAACAATGTAATCGATAATTATTTTATATGCGTTATTTTAAAGGGATACTCCACTTTTTTTGGAAATAGGCTCATTTTACAACTCCCCCAGAGTTAAACTGTTGAGTTTTACCGTTTTCGAATCCATTCAGCTGATCTCCGGGTCTGGCGGTACCACTTTTAGCATAGCTTAGCATAGATCATTGAAGTGGATAAGACCATTAGCATCTCTCTCAAAAAAATGACCAAAGAGTTTCGATATTTTTCCTATTTAAAACTTGACTCTTCTGTAGTTACATCGTCCACTAAGACCAACGGAAAATGTAAAGTTGCGATTTTCTAGGCTGATATGGCTAGGAACTATTCTCTCATTCCTGCGTAATAATCAAGAAACTTTACTGCCGTACCATGAGTGCAGCAGGCGTAATGATACTATGCAGCGCAAACACAAACTTATATGGTCACGCAGGAAGTAACCTAGATGGGGACTATTTTCAGGTGCTGCGTCATAGCATTACGCCTGCTGCACTCATGCTATGGCAGTAAAGTTTCTTGATTATTACGCAGGAATGAGAGAATAGTTCCTAGCCATATCAGCCTAGAAAATCGCAACTTTACATTTTCCGTTGGTCTTAGTGCACGATGTAACTACAGAAGAGTGAAGTTTTAAATAGGAAAAATATCGAAACTCTTTGGTAATTTTTTTGAGAGAGATGCTAATGGTCTTGTCCACTTCAATGATCTATGCTAAGCTATGCTAAAAGTGGTACCGTCAGACCCGGAGATCGGCTGAATGGATTCGAAAACGGTAAAACTCAACTGTTTAACTCTGGGGGAGTTGTAAAATGAGCCTATTTCCAAAAAAAGTGGAGTATCCCTTTAAGCTGGTTTAGGGGCCGATCACACCTAAATGCGTTTTTGGCAGTGAGAGGCGCCTTTTTTCAATTGATTCCCTATGGCAGTGCGCGTTCTGTACGCTGTTTATACACCCCAGGCGCCTCGCGTTTAACCGCCGGTTGCGCCTCACGTTTTTTGGAGTTAAAAAAAATCAACTTAGAGTGGTAAATGCGCTGTCCTCTGTTTTTTTCACTGTCCAATCGAATGAATGGAGAGGCGGGTCTTCCGTTGTAGTTATGAAAGCTACAGTTGCTTTGAACGCCGGAGAGTGCGATGATGGAGGATAAACTTGTGGTGCTCTCGGGGGTTACCAGGAGCTTAACGACTTCACAAATCGTAACTACCACAATGTTAACAGAAAGTAAACAAAGTTAATAAAAGGCTGATTTGACGTTTACTTGACTGACAGGACAGCTGTTTCTGTGTTTGCCTACCAACAAAAAATGCAGTTTACTGCTCGTTCTGTTTGATTGGGTCAGTGCTGTGCGCCTCGCGTTTTCGAACCGGAAAAACATTAGGTGTGATTGGGGCTTTACTCTACTTTGATCGCTATCATAGACATCAGTGTTTATATTTTTTAAATTTAAACTTTTATCCTAGTACTTCTATTAGGGCTGGGCGATAAAACGATAACAATAATTATCGCGATATAATTTTTCTCGATAAAACGATATCAAGAGGTCGATAAATGTTCGATAATGTTTATGCGGCAAAAGCGGAACGAAACTCATTTGAACCGCGCGCCACACGGACCGTTTATCCGCTCGGCTCAAAGTCCAAATGGCAGCGCGAGCTCACTAGAGCAGACGCGTTTACTCCGATCGTCTCGCTCAAGAGATCCAGTGAGAAGCACTTGAATTCAGCGAAGAACACAAATGTCCAGTTTAAATCAGTTTAAAGGCAGATGAAACACCGCTGACAAACAGGAGAAACACTGTACACAACGATACAGTCAGAATCTGAATTGAAACTGAATCCATTTAGCCTACCATGGATTTACTGTAACGTTAGCCTAGTAATATTAACTGCACCATGAAATGTGGGATATACATATTGAATTGTATAATATTATTAATGTAGACAATGTATTAAATGACTAATGGAATATACCGGTAATTACAGTATTTAATAATGTATTTAACTGTTAGGCTACTGTTTTTCATACAAATACCATAGAAACCATAAAGTTACATTTTGCCATGATAGTGAGGTGCTATAGGCTGTACCTGGCTTTATCTGTGGTTATCATGATCTAAATGCACGATACTGGATGACCAATGGTTAATTTTAATAAAACTCAAACAGTCAGAATATTACATTTTACCAAATAAAAATGTGGTCCTTAAATAAAAAAATAAAAAAAAAACAGATGTTACTGTTTTTGTTAATGAACATAAATTTAAGTTAGGATGTCGATTTACTGTCAACTCACTGTCAAATATGCATTTCGAGACAAAACATGTAATTTGAATATTGCAGCCTGCACTGCAAACTGTGCTGAAGAAATATTTTTCTTTTCAGATATTTATTTTGTTAAGGAAAAATGACAAATGTTTGAATGTTCTACCTCAGATTTTTAAAACCACAACGCTCTGGTTTATACAACTTTCACTTAGGAGCAAAAATCTGCCTTTAAACTTGAAAGAAATAAAGATTTGACATTTATCATGATAATTATCGATATCGACTGATATAAAAAAAAATATCGTGATAAATTTTTTTGGCCATATCGCCCAGCCCTAACTTCTATGATAATTTGAACTATTGTATTACAGAAATAATGATACTATTAGGTTGAAAAGACAGTTTGTGAAGCTGTTTCATGACGTCTCTGGGTCAGCACAGCTTTAAAAGTTGCGATATGATTTTGTCAAAGGTTTAATAGACAGACGAAATGGAAACAAATCGCGTGGGTGTTTGAATCGAGATCCAGTTTTTTAAAGATGAATCGTGCAGCTCTATTGTCTTATCTCTCTCAGTATATGAGTAGCGCAAGGGCTTTTCAATGCATTCAATCTCACGTCGCTTTCACGCGTCCTCTTTAAAGGGATATTACGTTACTCAAAGATAACGACACATTTCATTCTCTGTTGGAACGAAAGTGACTTACTTTGGTCAACCTCGTCTATAAGCAAGGACAAAAATAAATTTAATTTGAATTAATATCGATTCTGTAATAATAACAATAAAAAAAAAAATTTTAAAATTGAAAAAAAAAAGAAGAAAAAAACGTGATACCTAGGTGAATCTATTTTTTTCTCCCAGCACTAGTGAAGTCACTCAGAGGCCCATACGGAAGAAAAGGAATAGTTGAATAATGTTGTTATTTTGTTGTTGTTTTTGTGCACAAAAATGATTGTCGTCGCTTGATAAATTCGCCAGAATGAAATTCCCTAGAAGCCTATGGAGGAATGAGCCAGCTTTCAGATTTCATCAAAAATATCTTAATTTGTGTTCTGAAGATGAACGAAAGTCTTACGGGGTTGGAATAACATGAGGGTGAGTAATTACTGACAGAATTTTTGGGTGAACTAACCCTTAAAAACGGTTTTCATTTCATTTAAATGTTTATATGAAAATATTTGTTGTTGTTTTTTTAAGCTATAATGTAGCGTTTAAAATGTATGATAATCATATGAAATTTTCTACTTTTTGATGTGCTGTAAAAGTGTGTGCTTATAATTCACATGGTTGTGTTAATAAAAAAAATTAAGTTGAACGAATGGTGCAGAATTTTTTTTCTAACCTTAAAATGTAATTTTAACATGATAGAAAGTGAACATTTTAATGTTCTTTGATTGTTGGATTGTTAATAACATTTTTGGGGAAAGAACGCTGCAGGAATGTTATGCTTACCTTAAGATAATGTTCCAGCAACGTTTTGTCAATGTTCCAGCAATGTTAAGATAATGTTCCATGAACGTTATGCTAACCTTAAGATAACGTTCCAACAACGTTTTGCTAACATTAAGATACTGTTCCATGAACGTTATGCTAACCTTAAGAATGTTTCAGCAATGTTGTGCTTGCTAACGTTCCAGCAACGTTATGCAAACTTTAAAATAATGTTCCAGCAACGTTATGCTAACCTTAAGATAACGTTCCAACAACGTTTTGCTAACATTAAGATACTGTTCCAGCAACGTTATGCTAACCTTAAGAATGTTTCAGCAATGTTGTGCTAACGTTCCAGCAACGTTATGCAAACTTTAAAATAATGTTCCAGCAATGTTATGCTAACGTTCCAGCAACGTTATGTTAACCTTAAGATAACGTTCCAGCAACATCATGCTAACATTCCAACAACGTTTTGCTAACATTAAGATACTGTTCCAGCAACGTTATGCTAACCTTAAGAATGTTTCAGCAATGTTGTGCTAACGTTCCAGCAACGTTATGCAAACTTTAAAATAATGTTCCAGCAATGTTATGCTAACGTTCCAGCAACGTTATGTTAACCTTAAGATAACGTTCCAGCAACATCATGCTAACATTCCAACAACGTTTTGCTAACATTAAGATACTGTTCCAGCAACGTTATGCTAACCTTAAGAATGTTTCAGCAATGTTGTGCTAACGTTCCAGCAACGTTATGCAAACTTTAAAATAATGTTCCAGCAATGTTATGCTAACGTTCCAGCAACGTTATGTTAACCTTAAGATAACGTTCCAGCAACATCATGCTAACATTCCAACAACGTTTTGCTAACATTAAGATACTGTTCCAGCAATGTTACGCTAACCTTAAGATAACGTTCCCACAACATTATGCTAACGTTCCAGCAATGTTTTGCTAACATTAAGATACCGTTCCAGCAACGTTAAGCAAACTGGACATTTCAACGTTTTTAGAACATTTCAAACCAACGTTCCCACAACGTTCTTAGAACATAATTTTGTTAGCTGGGCACCCAAACCGTCAAACCTACGTCATCAGGAAAGGTCCTCCAATGCAGAGGGGAGGGGAAATTTCAGATTTTGATTAAAGATTACGAAGCCAAAACATTTTTTTTTTGTGGATTGACTTGCATGGATGAATTGTTCACCACAAAACGATCAATTTAGGCAAACAAAGTAGCCTAAGTATGATCAATTTTGAATTCATGGGGACTTTAAGCAACTTAATATATATAGAAGTAATGAATGGAATAGGCCTATGTTGTTTAAATTGTGTTTAAACGTGCATACACGGGTTTCTTGTATACAAACAATACCGGATGCGCGCGCATCCAGGGGGCAAAAAACCGCTGTCTGTTATGCCGAGTTCTGTAAAAGAACATTGTAATTAACGTAGATTTCGCATTGTTTGTCATTTCTTGTTGACTCAATAATAAACTGCAATTTCAGAGTTCGATCTGTTTGTTTGTGTTTATTAATATAACATTATGCAAAATGTCCAACTGTTTACGAATCAAAATCCGGACATACTGTGATGCATGTATGAATTATCATGTTAGACTAGTTAGTTTAACAAAGATGAATAAATACTGTAACAAATGTTTTGTTCATTGTTAGTTCATGTTAGTTAATACATTAACTAATGAACCTTATTGTAAAGTGTTACCAGTGTAGGCTTAATAGCCTAACTTTAATAGCCTATTTGTACCCCTGTTCAGTTATTTTTAGTAACATTTAATACTGGTGCAATTTGTACATTAAATATTAGTTTGACTTATAAAAGTACTTATAAAAGTACTTATAAAAGTAATTTATATTGAATAATTCTCACTATTTTTTGAAAGCTTTGAAATTATGTTAAACGACAAAAACAGATGAGATCGGGGTATTTTACATTAACTACTATGAATGCACCACGAGTTTTACCAGTTTTAAGAAAACGCAACCTTTATTCAAGTTTTTGTTGTTTTTTCGACAGTGCTAGCTAGTTTGTTTCTTTTAGCTATAGCTTTAACGGCAGACTGTTGTACGTCGCGCTGTTGGAATCCTCTACGTTTACACCGTTTAGCTGTCAGCATTTTAACTGTTTAACCGGGACAATTTAATAGTGGTTGGTGTTACCCGAACCTCTGGTCACCCTACTATACTAATACTACACCCTACACCCTAATAGTCTACCCACAGCGACACTTGGAATAGATTGTCAACCTCTGGACAACTTTGCACTTTGATAGAATTAGGCTAGCCAGCCAGCACATGATGGATTTAAACAATGGATTTGTATTCTCATTGGATGTTTAAAAAAAAGAAAAGAAAAGAAAAGGTAAGCTGCGATCTTCTAAGTTATATCTGCTGGGTTGGTTTGTGTTAGTGGAACTATAGTAGGGAAGTATGCGATTCCGAACGCAGCCATTGTGTGTTTGAAGGGGCGTGGCCTAATTCAGTTCGGCGGAAGTTAATAGAATAGTTTAAACTGTTAACTTGTTATCTACACATCTTTACAGCAGATGCGCTCAGATACTTAAGTGTAACTATTTCAGACCACTGAACTGTTGAAGAAAATGTTTTACACATTTGCTTTTTGCTGTCTGTGTTGTTGTTGCTGTCTGGTTGGTGAGTTACAAACATGTTTTATGAATTATAGTTGGATGCTATTTGTGTGGAGCTCTAATGCACTTCAGTTCCATCGTCAATGAGTAAAAACTGTTTACTTATGTTATTTATAACACTAAACCAAAACGTAAAATGTAAACTATGTGAAGGTGTGTGAACTCAGATATCTGTGCCATTTATTTCCCACGATGCTTTTTCTATCTTTCTACTTTCTCAAAGTGTGTAATCATTTCAAAACTACTTCAAACTTCAGTTAAAGCTTCATTAAAACAACTTAAAGTTGAATGTGTGAGTGAGAGGCTGTTTCTGTGTGTTCTTCAGGAGTATTTGCTGACACAGATGCAGTGAAGTCAGTGTCAGTGATGGAGGGAGATTCAGTCTCTCTAAACTCTGATACTGAAATACAGAAAGGTGATAAGATAACGTGGACATTCGGAACTAACGGGAATCTTATAGCTAAAGCTAAAAATGACGGAGTGAAAAATATGATCTCTGATAATCTTGATGAGAGATTCAGAGACAGACTGAAGCTGGACAAGAACACTGGATCTCTGACCATCACGAACATCAGATCTGATCATGCTGGAGTTTATGAAGTTGAGATCAGCCGCAGCAGCTCATCGTCTACATACAGATTCACTGTTACTGTCTATGGTGAGTAGAGAAATACAGCTCACTATATTATATATTACAGAAGCATTTTATTGTTATAATATAATTAAGATGATTCAACTTTAGTGTCATTGTACATCTTGAAATATAAAAATGGGGGACGGGGTCTTGAACCCGACATGATGCAGTTTGTTAAAATGCTTTTAGTGGTGATCAGGATCTGGAAGGGATAGATGAACTCATCTAATTTCAAAGCTAATAACTTAGCCTAGAAATGTTGTCCTAATTACAATAAAACACTTTGATTTGTTGGCTTTTTTGGATGTTAATGATTTTTTACCACTGCTTCTTTTGTCCAATCTTCACCATAAGTGTCTCCAAGCCTCGCAAAACTGACTGATTTTTTTAAAAAAAAATTCAATATCATTCCGGTTCCACACCAAAGCAAAGTTAGTTAGGATGTTGCTTAGCAATACTTTGGTGTATTTAAACTAAACTTGGTATTTATTGTGTTCATACCCGTGTGTATATGAGACTGACTATCAGCACTACAGTCACTTAAAAAATATTTTTTCTTATTAAAGAAGCAAGAGCAGCAGTGCTTTTGTGTAATGACTCTCAACTGCATATGCCAGTTTTGCAATGTAAGTGTGGCTCAGTGGATAGACATTGGCTCTTAATCATTGTGTTGTGGGTTTTAATCTCACAAAGTGTTAAGATCTGCCTCTATTCATTTGATGTTTTGCATTGTGCTTTGTGGAATGTAGGTCATGCATGGCCTCATAATTTATTCTTATTTCTCTGTTCTTTCATGCTTTTCAGCTCGTCTACCCATTCCTGTCATTGGCAGGAACTCTTCAAACTGTTCATCATCGGTGTGCAAATGTGTGCTGCTGTGTTCAGTGTTGAATGTGAGTGATGTGACTCTCTCCTGGTACGCAGGAATGAGTGTAATGTCCAACATCAGTGTGTGTGATCTCAGCATCAGTCTCTCTCTACCTCTGGAGATTGAGTGTCTGGATGATTCCTACAGCTGTGTGGTGGCTTCTTCATTCACCAACTGGACTACACATCTCAACACTGAACTCTGCCAGACATGTCCAGGTACGTCAGCATTGAGTTGCTGTGTTGGTGTTGGGAGTTGATGTGAAATTCTCCACTAAGGCCCAGTGTACATCCAACTCCCTGCAGCACTGACTTTCCTCAGCTGTGTCCATGGCCTCGCATTTCCCACACAAGCACATATGAAACAAAAATCAAATGTGTATCGGGAAAATGTTGACCTCCCCCTCTCTCTCTCCTGCGGTGATGAGAAACCTCTATATCACATAACGTTAGTGTGGATGGATATTAATGAAAGTGACGTACACTTGATCAAAGCTTATTAGTTTCTGTTATTGGTAAATATCAATACTCCTAGATGACCAATACTAGCTTTGCTATTGCCTGATACATGATAATAATCTGTACAATATTGTGATCTGAGCAGTGTTACATATCGTCAGCTAACGTACGTGTGTGTGTGTGTGTGTGTGTGTGTGTATATATATATATATATATATTCTTCTGTGCATTGACTCACAGGGGGGGCTCTAACGTGCAATATGCCCTTTAACATTCAGTGATAAATAAATGCAGTATTTTGTCCCTCTCAGGTGAAATGCTGTTGTTGTCCAAATCTTCTGTTCTGATTCATATTGTTCTTTTATTTCCTCAGACTGTGTTTTCTGTTGTCATGTTTCTGAAGCTGTCATCCGATTGGTCATCTCTGCTCTGGTGGGTGTGGCTGCTGCCTGTATTGTGGTGTACGACATCACATCCAGAAAACAGGAGAGAACATAACAGACATTATCATCATCATCATCATCAGACTCTCACAGATGAATCATATAATTTCACATTGTGAGGAGGAAGAGGACAAGGGGATGGGGCTTTGCCAGAATATTTTTAAAAAAACAACACAAACTGCAATCAGTTGATCTTGAATCTTTTAATGTGAACAATTATCATACAACACACTATAAATGTTTGGTATCATTCGAAATGTCTTAGTATGACTGATACAAAGGTCTTATCTCCACAGAAGTAAACCAAAAGGTAATAAAGTTTTTAAGAGTTTAGAGATATCTTGCATTTAAACGTCTAACTTTACATTTCACAGCTATATTCTCCATCTGTAACTGTAAGAAAGTCATGCAAATATTTCCGTTTAAGTCTCCCCCAAACTTCACAGTGAACGAGCGTGGCTGCTCACAAAACAGAGCTCAATAGAATAGGAGTGCAATAATTCTGACTAAAATATACATTTTGCTAAAATATTTGTTGTTGGACATTAAATGTGCCTTATGTAGAATTTTGAACCTAAAAGTGAGTGTATTTTTATGAAGTAACTGTAGAGCGACTATTGTAATGGGGTAAATCAAATGTAGGCTAATACAAATTACTAAGCTCAGATGAGGTAATGTGTTCGTCTTACCAGGTCAAATTTATTCTGTGCTTTTGTTACTATTTATTTTCATTTTTAGTTCAGTGACTTTAACTTCTGCTTAAAGACTTTTTTTATTATATATTTTTTAAAGATTGTAATGTTAATGTTCTACTAATAACATAAAAAGGTTCTGCTGCCATAAACAAATGTTTCATGTTTTTTTTAAAACAATCTAATCAAATCTTGGGCACAACAATACATTCAAACAATCAGTAAGAAATCAGTAAAAAATGAAAACCTGTAGGTTATATATTTACTATATATTCGCATTCACTGTATTGTATTAATAGAATACTATAGAGCTAGAATTGTGTCTTTATTACATGAGAAAATAAATGATCTGAGAGAAGAAAAAAAAGTTTGAGAAAAAGTTATCACTCTGATAGCAAAAAGAGAAAAAAAAGAATATTTGAGAGAAGTATTCATACCAATAGCAAAAAATTATAATATTTGAGACTAAAAGTTTTGAAAGAAAGTATTTTCTCATATAACATAAATAAATATATAACTTTGAATTTTTTTAAATAATAAAATAAAATAAAAATCTCTCAAAATACTTTGAAAAAAATCACAAATATATATATTTTGGTATCAGTGCGAAAACATTTTCTCTAAAAAAAAGTGTTCCTCTCAAAAGGCTTTTCTTTACTCTCGATGCAATTTCTTGCTCTTGTGTCAGGATTTTGCTTTTGCTGTGAAAATTGAAAACTCGATGGGTAGCTGGCTGAGCAAGTTCAGCATCAGTGAAGATAAAAAACAGCACTAATCTTCATGAATGAATGTGTATTATATTATTAGCTTGCTAATTGCTAGTAAAGCTAATCGTTAATTAGCCATTATGCTAGGTAAACTTGCAAACTCACCTGGTTTATACTATTTTTAAATCAAATGCCAAATGAATGTTTTGATTTAGATAGTTTCACTCCTTATTTAGTGAGTAGTGAGCTAGTGTATACCTTTGCACTTGCTAGCCTCAAAGCACCTGAAGAGTAACTGTTTGTTCATACAACCTCATTCATGAATATGAGTGCTATTTTTTAATGTTTAATCTTCAGTGATGCTGAACTTGCTCAGCCAGCTACCCATCGAGTTGTGTGTCATCATCTTACCCAAACATTGGAGTGTCTGTGCTCAACTAAGGCAGAGGCGGCATCTATCTAGGTGAACCAAACAATGGTGTAATGATTCAGTTCGACTCCCAAGACAAGACGATGCTCACCCGACTGGCCAATAGGAACGTGGCCCCGCCCATGACACAATTTTCACAGCGAAAGCAAAATCCTGACACGGAAAGTGCATCGAGAGCAAAGAAAAGCGTTTTGAGAGAAACAACTTTTTTTTTAGAGAAAATGTTTTCACACTGATAGCAAAAATATATATATTTATATATATAAGTATTTCAAGAGAGATTTTTTTTCTCAGAAATCATTTTAAAATTTTCAAATTTATTTATTTTTTATGTTCTATGAGAAAATTCTTTCTTTCAAAACTTTTTTTTAGTCGCAAATATTATAATTTTTTGCTATTGGTATGAAAACCTTTTCTCTCATGAAATGCTTTTTTTTTTTGCTATCAGTGTGATCTCTCAAACTTTTTTTTTCTCTCAGATCATTTATTTTCTCGCATGTAATAGAGACACAATTCTAGCTCCATAATAGCCAGTTAATATAAAGATTTGTAATACAAAATTTTTCCAAATTAAGTTTTAAAAGTATATTCATGCTGTTAGTTACCAAGGGGAAGGGACGATATGTGTGATGTAGGCAGCCGCATGCGCACTTAGCCTAGACCGTCCGTCTTATTCTGGTGTAGTGCTGAGGAGGAACAAGTCTTCAGCCAACAAGCCTTCAAATGACTGGACTAGGAAGGACACAGCCTCACTAGTATGCAGCCTTCCAATTGAGAAACAGACAGCGTTTCTCAGAAATTGCTTTTGCACCTTTAAAACTCTCCCAGTTCTCTCCTGTTTATGGGCGTGTTTGTTGAGCGGTGGTGTTCGCTGGTAGGTGGCGCTGTAGGCTGCTATCTGATACAGGAAGAGTCAGACATTTTTGAAAACGGGACTGCTTTTTTTATTGTTTTTTTTTTTTTTAAATCAAGAAGCAATTTAGACCAGTCTCGTTCAGCATAATATAAATCATCAAAATATAGGTATAGCCTACTTTACCAATAAATCGGCTTAAACATCTTTACGTTGGCCTAAATGTTTTTCTTTTCCTGTTCGTCGTCTCGTATTAGAAGATCTCTGGTTCAGGGCGCGGCTCAGAGACACATCGAGAACAGAGGACTTTATTAACTCTACGGATCATCTACTATCATTCACTCATCTCTGACGTACATCAATATGAAGAGCGCACTTATACGTGTTCTTTTCTTATTATTTGCGACCGGTAAGTGATTGTTGTTGTTTTTTTTAAAGCACAGCTGCAGCACTTTCGTTTTCGTTTTCTACACACTGGAAATTAGCATTTTCTTTTCAATTTTTTCTTAATCTTTGAATTTCGAAATTTAACAACTGTGATCACTGATATTTTGTATAATGCACAAAAACAGTGACTAGACTACATATTTTAGTAGGTGTAATCAGGGCCAGATTAAGAATTCAGAGGCCCCTGGCCCTGGGCACAATGTCTTGTAGGCCCCCCTTAGGCAGGTCAAATGTATAGTTTGTCCAAGTAGCCTACATTTTAATTTGGTGTTAACAGTTTTACTGACTTAAAAGAAACTTTGTTGTACTATGCTGGAGTAAAGTTCATAAATGATCGTTCTTTCCCATAGGATAAAACTATGTTGGGTGGACCTCTGTCCCTATAGTGGGGTTTGGGGGTATGCTCCCCTGCAAGAATACTTTGTACATTTTAAGGTTAAATGCATCAATCTGGTGCACTTTGAGATCTCCAAATTAAAGGTTGTATCAGCGATTTCAGGCCCAAACATAAATGATCACATTCATCTAATCTTTCCTAACGATCCACTAGCTGCCCGCCCCAAGCAGGCCGTCAAAAAAACACGTCTCTGTAGGTAGCCTAGGCTCTGAGATCTGCCAGAGAATGTCTAATAGAAGAGAATTGGCACTCTCTGGTTACTTCCTGTTTCTGGACTGGCTGCAGTAATGGTGCGTTCACGTGCTATGGAAAATATGATATTTTCCACTTGTGAACCGGTATTTACCAGTGTGTTGCGTTCAAGTACTTTTGTTGTCATAATGTGGTAAAAAGATGGAGATCCAGACCAGGGCCCGTATTCCTAAAGAATCTTAATGCAAAAAGTAGCTCCTAGTGACAAAATTCTAAGAAAATTCTTAGAAATGTGGGCGTTTACTCCTAAAATTAAAGAAAAAATCCTAGTAAAGAAACAAGTAATTCAGAAAGCATCTTAACCCTTAAAAGAGGTCTTAAGGTCAAAATTGTTAGGAGCACGGACGAGGACTTTTAAGAGGCTTTAGAGTTTTTTTAGCAGAGGAGAAAATGGCAGAAAGACGAAGAGGGAGAAGAAATGCATTGCAGACAATAGATGACAGTGAGTTAATAAGACACTATAGATTAGATCGTGCAGGGATCATGTTTGTGACCGATTTTATTAGAGACACAATAACATCTCCGACACAGGGCAGGAATGGCATAGTGCCAGAAATGAAATCACTACTGTACATTAAGATATTTGACATCTGGGAAAATGCATCAACGCAGCAGTGATGATTTGGGTCTGTCACAAACTTCTGTAAGCAGAGTGATCACAAACAATTACAGCACTTTCAGAACCTCTCATTGTGTCGCAGTTCATTTAGTTTCCACTGGACATTCCCACATTGCAGGCTCAAAAAAATGCATTTATGAATATAGCAGGCTTCCGCACAAGGAGGGGGAATGAACCGTAAATAATTTATTATTAACCGCTATAAGCTCCCACGTCTGCTTCTGTGCTGTGACACCCGGCCTGATTTTCCTTTAAGAATGGCCTTGTGTTCATCCACTAACTGGGCTCACAGTAAACACTGTTCCTCTGTCCAGTTGAGCTTTCTTGTCCTTCTTGTTTTTTATTCCATGTTTGTTACATTAAAACCAACATTCAAACCACCACTTAAATAGACAGTGGAACAATATTTATCATTCTAATCCAATCAAATACCTTATAGGAAATTAACAGTATGGTAAATAAAAAAAAGGATTTATATACACAAATATAATGTGTGTGTGTGTATGAGAATGGTCAAATAGGAAAAATTACGCATGTAATTTCAAAGTGAAGTCTTAGAATAGACCCAATACTTAAAATCACTCTTTTTTTCCTTCTTGGACAACCAACCAATCACAGTCTTCAAAAGATTGTGTCATACATAGCAACGGGGTCAACCCCGCCTCCTCACTAAGATGAAAGTTTTTGTCTTTTCCTTACTCAGA